GTCTGCCTATATTGTTTTGTATTTTTCCTGTAGGTCTTTCTTTCAAGAAGTATCTTCCGTTTTTCTAGCCACTCCAGGCTGGTCTGTCCAATTCTCTTTTAGCTTTTACGTTCTTGTTAATGTCTTCCCCAACCTACATCCCCCTACTCCTGACCTTTCTATCTAAAAAATTGCTTCAAGCTTCACATTTACTCTATATCCTAAGCATTTTTTGTCTTTGTTAATTCCCTGCATACAACTGGGTACTATATATCAATATTTAATAGGTTTTTTTTTTTTTCCCCTTATATTGCATTTAACAAGGGCATTTAAGATAACAAAAAATAAGGAAAGTACATTTTAAGTAGTTCTCAGTTATATATAAGTGTTAATGATTGAAACAAAAGAAAGAGGAAGCCTCTGGGATGTTATTGATATTATTGATAATACTCAATCTCAGTGGTGGTCACATAAGTGTATTCACTATGATGACTCATCAAACATTACACTAAGGCTTTGTGATAGATTGAGTGGTATATTTCAAAATTTAAAAACAAAATTAAACGTATCATGCATGTTGTAGGTACTACTATCATTGCCAATGGAACTTGTCTACCTTAAAAGTTTTTCCCCCAGTTTTCTTACCAAATCCTATGTATCAAAAGTTGAAGTTACCGTTTTTCCTTTTTACTACAAATAATAGAGCATTAACTTAAGAATGAACATTCTAAGTTACATTACATTATCAAAAACCCAAACCCATTGCCATTGGATTGAATCTGACTCATATCAACTATAAAGTACAGAGTAGAACTGCTCCTTGGGGTTTGTGAAAATATAAATCTTTATAGGAGCCTCATCGTTCACCAACAGAGCAGCTAGTGCATTTGAACTGCTAATCATTCAGTTTGTACCCTGATGTTTAGCACACTATATCACCAGGGTTCCTTACATTATATTATAATAGCTTAAAACTAATCAAAATGGCTATTTTATACCCACATCATGTCAGACACTGTTCTATATTATAGGAAAAATTGTCTTAGCTTTTCCAGCATATTCAACTGAATTAAATGGGTTAGATATTGATCCTTACCAAGGTGTTTGGGAAAGGAATTGGCTCTGTGTGAGATAGATAAATTGATATTCAGGAAAGAAAGAATCTTCTAAAGCAAGATGAAGCCAGGGGCCTCAGAACAATGTCTTCTTATTCTTGGATCAGTATGTTGGTTCCAAACTTTGCTACTAATTGATAGAAAATTTCAAAGGGGAAAAACATATTGTACAATGCACAGCTGCAAACACTTTGATCTTAATGGCCTGGGGACAAAAGCCCCTCTGGGAGCAGCAGGCTGATAAAACTCCTGTTCATTTTCTGTAGGATACCAGCTGGGCTGGTCTAGCTGAGGTTTCATGATGAAGGGTAGCTGGACCCCCTGTAGGGTCTTCTCAGGTAAGGAATATGAACTGAACTTTTGCTTCTGCTTATTAATTTTTGTAAAAATAGAACATTTTTAATACTGGTATTTGCTGGTGGTTGCATGCCCTTGAGTCATTTCTGAGTGATAGCAACCTTGTATGGGGTTTCCAAAGAGTTGCTGGTGGGTTTGAAACACCAACCTTGCTATTAGCAGTCTAGTGCTTATTGTCCAGTGCCACATTGAATCTCAGAGATTTGAAGTTCAAGAGAATAGATAAGGTATCTGCTCCTAATCCATTACTTTTGTTTGTATGGCTAATTAAGAATACAAAGGCAATAAATAAATATTAGAAATC